TTTCAGGCCAAGGTGTGGGCACAACGGGGGAGACTTCCAGTGAAATCATGAACTCTAGGAGATGGCTATGGGGCCTGATTAAAGGCTGATTATTATGGGGAGCCCATGTCGATGTCAGGAGTGATAGAGAACAGCTGAGATCAAGGCTTCAACGCCCAGGTCCTAACCTCCATGCTTAAACCAAGTTTCTCAAGGGGGCATGGATTTTAGCGGTCTCAGTTTAATAACCAATGCTTTGCAACTTTTTTTCGTTAAGAAATGCATTTTTATCATAAATTAACCTTTTCCTAGTTTTCAAGGCTCTCAAATTTTTCAGGACACGAAGTGAGTGCCCACTGCACAGCAGCAGTGCCTTAGAGAGGCTGCGGTAGACAAAACCCAAACCCCTAAGGGGTGGCGGCTTTGCCTTCTTATTTTCCTTCTGCAATGGCTCGCAGTTTGGTAACTAGAGAGACATCCCAATCATGAAACGATGTATGAGGCCAGCCGTGTAGATATGGTAGCGAGGTACAGTATAAGTATATTTATATGACACAATGGAAGTGGTTCTGTAATGTGTCTTTAAAATAAACAGTTCCTTTATCATGATTCCAAGTTATATCGTCTCTTAAGATTTTCTGTAAATTAACAAAGATTGTGTTCGTATCTTAAGATAGCCCAGGACAGTTCAAATATGAAAGGGTTGGAGCAAATCCAAATGCGTGTTGTGGAAATATATATGTGATAGTGTAGTGGTTAGCGCACTGCGCTATGAACCCTGTGACCCGGGTTCGATTCTCGCGCACGGCCTACACCAGTGACGATTATTTGAACCGGTCCTGGGCCTCCTCTAGATAGACTAAGCCTCAAATGAGTACCTGGTGCGGTGTGTAAAAACATCGCCACTAGGGAGACAAAGGCGGCCGGGCGTGGTGCTGGCCAACCACCCCGTCATGTGCCGTGTCGGCCTTCATAGGTGCTCGCGAACAGCACTTGCCCCAAGTCTGTTCAGGCTACACGGGGGTTATTTGTCTTTGTTTATGTGGCATTTACTTTGCCAGCAGGGTAGCATTGTGGTGAAAGCACTCAACACAATATGGGAAGGTTGCGAGTTCAAATTCCGGTCACAGCTCTACCCAGGTCGTAATTCATTCAGGGCTGCTGATATATTTACCACTTATCGAAAGTCAGCAGTGACCGCCCTGTGCAGAGACTGGCCCACTCCACAGGAATGTGGAATTTTCTATCTCTCGCCATGGATCGCTTAACGGGAATGAGTGCTGCCACACACTTCATTTTAGCAGGAAGATGTATTTTTTAGGCCCATGCATTGCAAATGCTCCTTCCTTATTTGTCAATTAGTAAAAATGTACCAATCAATGACTCTACTGCCAACAATGTTGTGCGCTTCAGTGATTTCGGAGAGATCCGAATGCGCTCCTTGATTGATTTTCTTTACACGCACACTCTAAACATGGTGTACCTATTAACCTCAGTAAGGCATTCCATTAAACAGAGCAGAGCTGTGATGTCCAAAACTTAAATAAATATTATTTTACTTGGTGGACCAAAGAAGTATTGTAAAAGTGCAGCGCTGCAATTGCCAGCCTACGTCACTGCAGAATAAAGAAGCAAGATATTAAATCGTGAAATATCTTGGCCAAAACAATGCAAAGAAGCCTCTTGCTGGTGCCAGAAAAAAAACTATTTGTTCCTCTTTAACCCCGACTACAAATACTCAACATCAACCTGCCATTCTTCAAAGGGTCAGATTCTAACAGCGAATCCCAACAATGTATTTCCAGCGGGAGGAAGCGAGATAGAAACAGGACAACATAGAAACGCAACGCAGAGCCCACACTGGATTTAAGGGAGAGAGGGGGGGGGAGGAAGAGGTTCCGGGCTTCTGGGAATAAAAGATCAGAGGCAGCGGGGAAGGATGAGTCTCGGTGATGGATTGGGCCGCATGACACGTTTAGGGCTGGAAGCTTTCCGAATGCAACTTCCTCCAACCAACGCTCAACACCCGACCCCAAAACCCCCCAAGCCCTGCCTCTCACCCCCCCCAACTCCACCTCCACCCACTCAAGTAAAGGCCCTCCCCCTCCCCGAAGGCAATACCCAAATTCAATTGGCTCAGCCTCCAACGTAGAGATGGCTGCTTGGCAGGAAGGGGGGGGGGGGAACACGAATGAAATCATTTGCGTCTCCGGCCAATCATCGCCTTCCCCCCCCCGAATCCGTGCCACCCACCCACTCTCCTCTCTCCCACCCACCTCGCCCCTTCCCCTTGCCAAGCATGAAGCAGTGGAATCGGCACAACCCCTCCACTTTCCAAGTTCTTTCCCCCTCCCCACCAACCCCATTCCTGCACGTGCAACCCAACAGCGATTCTCCCATTACCCCCCACCCCACCCCCTTCCCCCTTCCCCAGCTTCTCCTGACCTCACCGCTGCTGAGAGGAGGGGGGCCCGCTCCTCCCACATTCCTCACCAGAGCCCCAAGCAGCGCCTCATCAGCACCCCCCCCCTCTCTCTCTCCCTCCCTGTCACTACTGCATAGAGCAACAGCGGCGGCAGCGGGGAGCGGTGGCACGGTGGTTAGCACACTGCGCTACGAACACGGACACCCGAGTTCGATTCCCACTCACGACCAATAAACGGTCCTGGGCCTCTCCGAGGTCGACTCAAGCTAAAATGAGCACCTGGTCCGGTGTGTAAATATCGTGACTAGGGAAACAAAGGCGGCCGGGCGAGGTGCTGGCCACCCACCCCCTCGTGTGCCGTGCCGGCCTTCATAGGTGCTACTCGCTAACAGCACTTGCTCCGAACAGCCTGTGAAGGCTACACGGGGGATCTTTGCTGCACGGAGCGAGCAGGCATTGCTCGATCTGCACAGCATTTATACCAGATCAGAGGTTTTCTCTCTATACACACACACACTGTATAGTATATATGTATCCTGTGTGTAGCTGGGTGATGGTGGCCATTGCCCATGGCCTCTAATCCAGCACTGCGGCAAGCCAGGGTTGGTGGATCACCGCATAAATGTCGTGAACCCCCTCCCCCCTTCTTCCCGTGGTCGTCAAGGAGGTTCAACAACCCTGGCTCGCCAGGAGAAGGTGGTACACAGCAAGTGGACTAATCGCCATCTGTCTCCAACTCTACTGGGATAGAGCGTTGCCCCCTCGCGCAAGACATGGGTTTCCTCCCCACGTGCGTAATAAACATTCGCCGGAATCGTCTGAAAATATTTGCTTTGAAACACCAACCAGGATAAGGACAGTCATCTGGTCTGTATGTTAGAATACAAGTGTAGTGACACTAAGAGTGGGATGCGGTCTATTAACAGCCTTCACAGTCCACACAGAGTAACTGGAGCTCCCAGTCAGGACAGCTGGCAGACTGCCTGACTGACGACACCGAGCAGGTGAAGACGCAGACGTCGGCGGAGACTCCAGCAGCACGACGAGGGGATCCCACGCCAAGCAACAGCCCCGAGCTCCCGCGCGGGGTCCCCTTTTATCCTCCCGGCATGGCCTCGCTCCGCCCCGGCCACGCCCCCTTTTCTAGAACCTACCAGCGGGTTCCCGCGCTTCCCTCACGTGGCCCCTGTGCAACCTTTCCCCTACATCCCTCTCTCTGGTTCATCACGTGACCTGCTGTCAGACAGGGCTGCTGCAACTGCGCATCCTCCATTCTGCCAGCAAGCAGCGCTATGCTGCCTAGTGACCAATTCTACGTCACTACACAGGTTTGCAGCTTCGTTTAAGAAAATAAAAAAAAAACTTTCAGTCGTTTTCAGGAGCACTCGAGCGACGTTACTGCACAGCGTGACTGCCGTGCCTTTTGAATGCATCACAGTGATGCGAGCAGAACGTGACTAAATTAGTTTAAATTCTGTGTTCAAACTCGAAATGCATCCATAACAGTGCCTCTCGAGGCCAATGTTAAAGAAGAATGTTGAGAGGTTTTTTTTAGTGAAGTTATAATCTTGCACAACTTCCGATAAAATATCACCAAAAAAATCCTTACATGACATTAAAGCAATTTGTTTACATTTTAATTGCATCTTTATATACAAACTCTTTGATAAGATCATTCACAAAGCTCACTATGTACCGCATTTGACGATTTAACAAAGCCCAAAATATCTATTTCAAAACATAACCATTAAATATTTACAACAATAACAATATAATGCGCCAGGAAAATGTATTATAGAAATAATGCCCACTATTTGTCCAGGAAAGACCTCATTGAGTCTCAATGGGGAGACAAAAGCGGCCGGGCGTGGTGCTGGCCACCCACCAATTCACGTGTCACGCTGGCCAACAGTATGTATGTATGTATGTTGAACGTCTTTCACACCATACGTAGTCAACCGTGCTTCGTCTGTTAAGGCTACATTGGGGATCTTTGTCTTTGTATAATGCAAAATACAGTACAATTACACACAGGTTCCATAAATTAAAGCCTGCCTATGGGAAGACTGCCTTTCTGTTGTGGAAATGTGGCATTTTCACCGCTGCCTCAAGTGACGATAACTGCCCAATTGCTAACGGGAGCATAGACTTGTGACAAAACACGAGCGGTAGATCAATACTGTACTTGGGAAGGAAGTCGCATGTGCATTGGAGTAAAAAAAAATATTTCCATGTAAAAAAGGGGATGTACAGAACACGGGGAAGGAAGGGACTGTGTGGAAAGCTGTCCCCTCCCAATAGTTATCCATCGAAGGTGTTTTTAGGGAGCTCAAAAAGCGGAGCTCTTTCGTGTTGTCGAAGGTGCATTTTAGAGTTTGCGTTCTTCCACTGAAAATTAGGTCCTTGTTTTTGTAGCGGTCGTAGTGGAGGTTTCGTGTGGCATTTGGCGATGCGTAAATGCCTGGGACTCGGTGAACACGAGCTGTGTGTGTTGGCTGCGCTCCTGCAAGGGGTAAGGGAAAGGTGGTAGAGGAGGAGCGGTGGGGAAGGAGTCGGGTAAAAATATTTTTTAACAAATGTAAATGATTGGTCTTACCTTCGGGCCCCTTTGTTGTTCGGCTTGCTGTGGCTGCACAGGAAGAATTTGTGATTGGCATGGTGGGGGGGGGAGGAGGGATTGGAGGGGTGGGGGGTGAGTGTTTTGGGGGGTGGGGGGGAATGGGAATGTTGGTGGAAGGGTAGTGGGGTAAGGAAAACAGAAAAAAAAGACAAAAGGGAAAAAGTTAGTCACGTTTCGACTCACGATGCGGCACGTGAGCGAATTGCTCATGGCGCATCGTGGGTTCTCGCGCTGTCTGGCAAGGGCCGTCGCGGAAACGGCAACTCCTCTCCCTGGCACGCACGCGTTGGACGCACGCGAGGACGCTCGCAGGCCGGGCCAGGGGGGAGTCACGGAGTCAACGAGGCACCCGCTCAACTCAAAGGGCGCCCGCCGACGCGCCCACCCAGCAGGCACAGAGTCAAATCCGCTCGGTGCCTTCTGCTTCTCATTCCTCCAAGCAGTCAATACACAGGCGTCTACTCAGACACCGGCGTCTGAGTAGGGGACGGGGGCGGGGGGGGCTCAAACTTCCAGACGGAAACGGGTCGGCAACCTACATGCTGTGCTGCCCCTATAATGGGCCACCGTACACGCCCGCATAAATCGCACATGGTGGACCGTATGCGCGCTTCCAAAACACGCTGGGTAACGGGCACGGTCCGCAGCACTCGTGCAGGCCATGCATCGCCATTCGCCGCTCGTTCCACACCTCGCGCGTTTCGCCGCGATTGCGCACACGACTCACCCGAGGAAAGAGAGGGCGTTTTATTTTTTAAAAAGTGTTGCTTTTCTTCTGTAGAATCAAGTGTTATTTTCAGGAGGATTCCTGCTTTGAGTTGTTCTCAGGCAACACGTACAAGGCAGAGAGGCCTGTAACCCACTTGCTTTAGGTGATAAACGTACTGAGGTCAAAGTCTCACTTGCTGTGCAAAACGTTGGTCAAAGTAGCCGGCATGCGACAAGGGTGCAGGTTCAAATGTAAAATTTGGGATCCGTTGCTTTGTCTCAACAGAGGGGAAAATGTGATGTATTGAAAAATGACATCAAACTATGGTGAGTACTCTAGAAATGGTGGAAACTTTTAGAAATGGGGAAAAATTTACTATTTGTATTTGAACAGGTAAGGCCCACTTAGCTACATAGCTTTTTTTCAGAAGCGATCTGGCCACAAATGATAGATCGACGAAGTGGCTTGTCATGTGGAAATTGATAGCGGCTGAATACTCTGAACGCATGTTGATTTTAAATGTGGACAGGAAAACTGGATGACCCGGAGAAGAATCCGCACGACCACAGGGAGAACATGCAAACTCCAAATATTCAGGCGTAATTGGTCGGGATCGAACTCACGACCTCCTTGCATACTAGGCGAGGAAGTTAACATATCACCACCATTGCGCCCCTTATTCAGTTCAGTTTATTTATTTTGGTATAGCCCTGTGAGCCATTCGGCTGTTGAATCGGGTGCAACCACAAACAAAAAACAAAAACACGAACAAGAAAACATCTTAAAGTGACTGTGTGACTGTGCAAACAGAAAATCCATGAAAAAAAACAGCAAAATATTCCTGAAAAAACACCGTACACCAACGCTGTGTGCAAAAAATCCCAGTGGGATGCAAGTCAAACAACAACAACCACAACAAAACTTAGATTAAGGCCATCAGTCTAACTCCGTACTACAACAAAACAAACATATCCAAACCAAAAAACTTTTCGAAATCACCAAAAAATAAAGCCATAATTGCAACATTACAGTGATCATAGGGACTGTGACCGAATTTTTACAATAAACTACATAAATAACATGCAACACCAAATCCTAGAGCCACAGCTGGCTGCATGAGTTACTCCACAACAACAGAAGCATCAGTCCGAGTATCAAATTTTTCAATGCACCTTTAAGATCAGCACGCTAAATCAAAATACAGATCATACTTTGCAGCGTAATCCGGAGCAAAACATTTTATTTTATTTTACGCCAATGAATAGCAGTGGCAGCTAGGGGTGTACAACTCCTCTAGAGCAGTTTTGAGAGAAGATCTCATTGGTAGCGATTCAAGTTGCAGTTTATTAGCAATAGCATTCCAGACCCTGGGGGCATCAATAGCAAAGGCCCTTCCTCCAGTTTGTGTACGGCAATAGGGAATGTGAAGCTGGTAAATGAGCGAAGACCCGAGGTCAAATTTATTCTTTGAAACAGAGAGGAGATCCAGCAGGTAGTCTGCGGATTTGTTTGTAAGTACATCGTGAATAAATAAGATCTGGTGCACAAGCCGTTGATAACTGCAGTGTGGAGTAGTAGGTCAAATACCCACTCTAGGGGGGCTCTCTCGAATTCCCCCTAGTTGAGGCCCCTCCACCAGCAGTGGCGTGAGCGAGAAATTGCAGGGCTGCAGCTTTGCCCTCAGCAGACTGCAATAATTTGATGGTGAGCGTCTTGGTGATGATGCTAGAAGTAGGATGCCAATTTGATGCTTCAACTTCAGCCCATGTCGCTTGTGTGTCAAGAGAATGAAGTGATGGGCAAGCAATCATTAATTACTGTATAAAAGTATGCAAAATAAGAATATGTATTACCCTTTCAAGCAATGCAACATATGTTAAGATGTTCAAACACCAAAATAGACACCTTTTGCAAGGAATCAAGTCTGCATAAACGAAATGTACTTGTGGTGATAATGCAAACAAACATTGTCTGATATAATATCAGCATTGTCTTTGAAACTGATTGGCCTACACCAGAGACAGCTTTCTTCATGGCCTAGTCTCACGAGTGTCAGACCAGAGAACGACAAATTTTGAACAGTACAAAGACAATGCACGTATCATAGCATTTATAGTTCGGGGTGAACGGCTATATCATGGGAGCTTTTTGCCACCTTGCAAAAGGTGTCTATTTAGTGTTTGAACATCTTAACACCTGTTGCATTGCCAGAAAGGGGTAAAACCTATTCTTATTTTTCATGTTAATTGTATTCTTTATTTGTGTGATGTCCCGGGAGAATGGCCATTTCAGATAGCGTGGCTCTTTCTCGAGGGTGAGAATGGGAAAGGAGAGTGTGGGAGGTGTGTGTACAGGAATGGTACAACAGAACATCTCAACAATTCAAGAACTCAGCATTATTAAAACGAAGAAACGAAAATCACCTGCGGCGGCAAAACTGCAAGTAAAAATAATCAATGCCATAACTTAGATGGTACCGGTGCATTCGCAATTCTCACGAAATAGAAAGGGCCTCGCGCTACACCGACACATCATCTAACGTCCACTGCATATGCGTATGATATCCATAGATTATTTAATAAAAATGCGTATTAAACTTACATTTGCAAGTATTCCAAAGTTCAAAGAAAATAACAAAAAATAAAAAAAACTGTTATTTTCTTTGAACCTATCTACGTGACTTTACCGAAAGACCCAAAGAATATGAATTCCTGCAGTCACGAAAGCTTTAAGTCAAGATTTATTCTAGAGTTGTGCATTTATATACTTTGATTTATTATTAACATTATTAGAATTATCCCAGTGCTGCCGTACCAAGCTTACCAAACTGGAATTTCCATCTAATTTGCACCAAAATGCGAGTTCGTAATTAAATTTGAAAAGATAAATAAACCGTGTGATTCCATCACGCAAAAAAACACATTTCATGGTACAAACTATGCAACTGTGGTGGCTGACGTGTGCCAACTACAAGGCAAGTGTAACAAAGCAACTCCACGTTTGATTTTTCCATCCATTATTTCAAGAATACAACAACAACAAAACCGCCCCTCCCGGGCAAAAAAATTAACATCTCTCTTGATATTTATCCAGCCTACGTGTGTGTGTGTTTACCTTCTGGTTTCGACCTATATTTTACCGACTTGAGAACCTTAGAAAAAAATTCTTTCCCCACCTCCCTCGATTATTTTTTTTGTTGTTTCAAAGAACCCACCATCATTTTTAAACGAAAGTACAACTTGGCAAAACACCAAAGAACATTGCCAGTATTAAGGAATTGAGGAATTTACTCGACACCCTGGCAGTAATGGATTAGGTTTTTTGTCTTCGGTGGGGTGGGGGGGCCTTGTGCGGGCTATGGTTTGGCTTGGGAGGTGGGTGGAAGGGGGGGGCGGGATGAGTGCGAGCATGGAGGCCTGGGAAGTCGTTTAGGCCACCCCTGTAGATGGCAGTTGCCTTGAGAGAAAGGGGAAGGGAGGGGGGGGGGCCCTCCCTTTCTCCAATGCTGGGACCCCCCCCCCCACGCCACCCCCCCCAACTGTGATCGGCAGCCCGCAAAATCGCATCCATTGTTTATCGAGCTGCTCCACCCCCTGCCTGCGAAAGCCCCCCCCCCCTCCCCGGCCATTCAGCCATATCTACTCAAGCATTCAGTGACGGCAACCAAAGAACATTCCAAAAACTTAGAAAACTGTGCACTCCAACCCGCCCCCACTCCCCACCAACCAACCCCCACAACCAAAAAACCGGGCATCATTCTTGCTGCACCAACGCCGCCGTAGGTAGAGAAAAAAAACCTCCCCAAACCCGGGCGCATTCCGCGCCCCACGCACCACCCCTCCGTGCATTCCCCTGCGCGCCGACTGACCGACCAGTCAATCTGGGCACAAGCGCACGCCCCCTGCTTCAAACACTAATTCGGCTCTCTGCAATCCCAGGGATAAGTTTGTGACGCTTCAAAGGACAAGATTGTGTGTTGTTTTGTTTAAATGTTGCCTTAATGTCTCTATGGTGCTCATCCCGTCCGGGTTGGCACTGTGGCAAGAGGGCTTTGCTCACAGTTGTGAAATCAAATCCCGGCTTGGGGGTGAACTCAGCCCCATCATCCTTTTGGGGTCAATAAACTAATTACGACTTTGTGAGAGCTCACCAGAGGTTGTCTATGAAAGACACTGGCCCACACGACGGGAATAAATTTCCACCGCTGGCTCGGCCAGGATTTTCAGAAGAGATCATCACCGCCCACCGTTCCGCTTCAACGGTGAGATCGTTTGACTTTTTAAAAGCCATTTATGTCAAA